CATTGCTGAGAATACACAGGTATTCTTATGGCTATGAAAGTTGAACTCTGAAAAGGTCAGATAGGACATAGGCGGATAACTTTGAACTGTGGTGCTGGAAGTAATTACTACACATCCCATGGACTGCAAAAGTAACAAAGAAGCTCTAGACCAAATGTCGCCAAAACTACCACTTGAAGCCAAGATAGCCAAACCGGCTGTCATACTTTGGTCGTGTCATGATAGCAAGACCTGAAAGGTCAATCACGCTGGGAATGATCAGCGGAAAAAGGAGAAGGGTACCCTAGTACCTGCTGGCTGGACACTACAAAGAATGACACCGGGATGACTATGGCAGATCTGAAGGAGGCAGTGAGAGACCAAGAGGCACAGAGAGTGCTGAGCCATAAAATGGTCGACGGTCAAATACGGTCAAACAAATGGCTGCTGCTGCTGCTGCTGATGATGATGATTTCTGTATTACATCAACACAAAATCTGGAACACATTTACTTACATCTATTTCCCATCTAGAACGCGCCATAAAATCCATTGTCAAAGTCTACAGCCAAGTTCTCTGATGCAACTCTTCTGCACTAAGTCAAGGCTCAACTGAAGTTTACTAAATAACTGATAGCAGGCTGAAGTCACTCAAAACACTGGGCAAGCCAAATCAAAGCACATTATGGCTTAACAAAAGCTGTACGCATGACACCAGTGGGAGTATTTGCATGACATGCTCAGTTACATCTGGTGTTAGATTATTTAACTTAACTTAGTTAACTTCAGTTAGATATTTATGTATTCATAATATTTAATCTGGCTGTCCAACTTAAATAGTTTGGCTTTGGGCAATGTACGAGAAAAAACATCCACAACAAATGCAACACAGAGAGAACAAAACACAACTAAAGACAATAAAACCCAACTAAAACAGTAAAATTGCAACCAGACTAAAATATATTGTAACTCAGTCAGGTGGGTCTCCACTCAACCTGATCCAAAGGCCTGGGGAAAGAACCATAACTATCTGTGCCATTATGTTCTGGACCACCTGAAGCTTCTGGATGGTCTTCAAGGGCAATCCCATGTAGAATGCATTCCAAAACAGGTAATCCTTGGTTAACTATAGTAATTTGGACCAGAATTACCCAAGCTACTGCCTTCTCCCAGTGGTTTCTACCTGTCCAGTTCAGTCCTGTAGGCTGGGCATCCTAAGGGTTTCATCAGGTAAGGAATGTTGGCTAGCAGCAGTTTGAGAGGCCTGTGCTAAGTCATGCCCAACTCTTCATGACCCCATGGGCCATAGCACTTCAGGCCCTCCTGTCCTCCACTGAGTCTCCCCAAACTCATGCCCACTGTGTCAATAACACTGTCTAATCCTGGGTGCCTATACAAATTGAATTAATAAATAAATTTCCATCACTCAGTGATGTGGTCATATGGGGCAATGTCATGTCATTACATTGTTTAGTGATGGCAATCCTGACTGTCCCAGTTGCCATTGTTATTCAAATCCCACCTACTCATTAGGTGAAGAGCCCTCTTAATTCAAGCTATCCCTGGCTTGGTCCCTCCTACCACAGCCCCAAGCCTCAATAAGGTAAGGATCACCTGTCTTCTCTTCAGCTCCCATTCCCACCAGTTATCTCCCCCATCGCTACTTTTGGGGAAGCCCTGAACTCCACTGGATGTGCCACCCTGCTGGCTCTGTCACCCATAGCTGATCGATCAGTCAATCGATCGATCAATTAGAATAGAGCTCGAAGGGACCTTGGAGGTCTTCTATTCCAACCCACTGCTCAAGGAGGAAACCCTATATCATTTCAGATAAGCGGCTGTCCAGTCTTTTCTTTAAAACCTAGAAAAATTAAAAAAAAATCCAAAACTTAAAAAAAAAACCTGAAAAGTTAAAAAACTGAAAAAAGAAAACTTTTATTAAAAAATGTTTCCTTGTTCCTTTCACAAATTGCACACTGAATCGAACATGGTCCTGCAACTCTACTCAAGAGTCCAGGATGAAGTTTCCTCAGTTCCAGGACTCATAGAGTCAAGCCTGTTTTTCCTCATCCAGACCTTCACAGCCTCCAGGCACTGAGGGGTCTCTGACAACTTCATATGAACAGCCAGGAACAGAAATATATAGCTGAGTATCATCACCATATGAATGATGCCGTATCCTGTCCCAACAGATCACCTTTCCCAGCGATTTCATGTATACACTGAAAAGGCGAGGGGAGAGCTCTGAGATACTCTGCAAAGCAGGGGAGTAGGACAATGTCCAGCCAGGCAACTTCAAACAACAGAGCAAACCTGTTTGCAACAAGGTGTAATACATTAGTTGTTATATAAATAATATCCACAATAGATATTGGCCTATCAAAAAACAGGCTTCCTTTTTCCACAGCATAAATACAGGAGGAAAAGAAAAAGCTAACCGCATTTTATATTTAAAGTTCATATTTGAAAGCAAAGTCCTGGTCAGAATTCTTGGGCTGTCATTTTAAATTAATGTCACTATAAAACTTACTAACTGAAGCTGTACTTGTTTCTGATGTTCACTTCCAATCCTGAGTGCTGCTAAAGAGATCTGATAAGTTATTGTGGGGATAACTTTGTAAGCCACTTTTTTAAAATGAAAAATATAAATATGGAATATGGAATTTACACTCTTGAATATTTACCATACAGTTTAGAGCTCACAGTACAGTAGTATATTATTAAGAAGTTTTCTTTCTCTACTGTAATAGAGGTTTAGTCAATTTTGAAGTTAATTGTATCATCATTCAGCTATAAGGTCACAGCACAAATTCACATTAAACCAAAATTAAATAAACTGTAACAGCACTCCATGTTTTGCAGGCAGATTTATTCAATGAATTGTATTTTAAACATATCATGCTCTAATGTTGATGTGTCAATCACATTCTGTCATCTTGTCAGAATCTATATTAGTTTTAATGATGTGATGTATGATTCAGCTGGAAAATCTCAGTAACAACCATACAATATCCTTTCATCCCTCTTTGTCGTATTACTGAAACTCTAAAATAGACCAAGATTTTTGGGGGAAAATTGATCCTTAATTGAAAGTTCTAAGAATGTTGTAATTAAAAACTATGAGGGGGGAAAGAGGAACCAGATTCACTTAATGACTGTGTGATTCATTTAATGACAGTGACAAAAAAGACTATAAATTAGGTCACAACTCATTGTACAACCTCATTGCTTAAAGACATAGGTTCCAGTCTCAATTATGATTGCAAGTCAAGGACTACCTGAGGTGGAGCATCCCATAGAAACAGCTAATTGGCTTGTGCAAGATATCTGTAGAGATTATGGAAAGATTGCTGAAAATCCCCTTAAGGGTTTCTAGGCAAATATAGGCCATTAGAGAGCAAGAAAATTTTGTCTTCTGGGTAAAGATATATCTGAAGTTTGAGAAGTACAACATTATGAAAAGGCCTAACTTTCAAATCTTTAGTATGACTGGCAAAAAGTTGCAGTAGATTTTTAAAAAAGGTTTTTAGAGCCAATTAGCTGTTTTTATGGGATTCTTAAAGTTAGAAAAAAGTGTGGCTGAGGTATGCCGCACATTTTTTGTCATCTCAGTTAACATCCTATCAATGGATCCAACAAGATATAAATGGGTAACTAAGCCTTTCTTCTGAATCTTCTTAGCTATACAATTTGGGATGAGCACTCTTTAAATGGTGTGAGAGTAGGAATGGATTTCCAGAGGAAAAACTGCAGACTACCGGGACCAGGAGCACTACTCAGGTGATCCTGGGGATACAGATAAAACCTCCAAGTGTTTCAACTACCCTCTAAAACAGGGGTGTCCAACCTTGGCAACTTTAAGACTTGTGGACTTCAACTCCCAGAATTCCTCAGCCAGCAAAGCTTGAAGTCCACAAGTCTTAAAGTTGCCAAAGTTGGACACCCCTGCTCTAAAAGGATGCAAATGACCAGCTGTCTGCAAGGAATATAAATCTTTCCATTCCCCACTATGCTGTCAGAGCTGAAGAAGCTTCTTGGATGAGAAGCGAAACATCTTCAAAAGAAAAATCAAGAAAGTCCAGTTGTCTTTTGAAAAAAGCACCTTTGGGTTCTTCTTCTGAGCTAGACATAGCAGATAGATTATGAACATATGTTTAACTTTTATTTTTTTATTTGGTGTCTTCAAGTCAGGGCCGACTCCTACAATTGCAGTTTCTTGGCAAGACTTAACTTTACACAGTGTCAAGCATTTATTTCTCCAACATTCAGGATGCATGTGGCTTACAAATATACACCAATGTTTATAACCCCACATTGTCTGTCTATTTCCCAATGCTAATTCTACTATATTCATATTGGACGTGCTAGAGAAACATTCTGCACAAGAGAAAATATACACCACACACTGGAGTCCTGGGAAAGAAAGCAAAGGGGGATCTTGCGCTGGATGTAACGGGAACAGCTTGCCCTGGGAAGTTGTGGGAGCATCATCACTTGAGACTTTCAAGAAAAGATTGGCCATTTGTCAGAAATGGTGTAGGGTCCCTCTCTTGGGCAGAGGGTTGGACTAGATGACCTACAAGGTCCCTCCCAACTCTGATTATCTGTTATCTGTTAAAGGCAAATTTGGGGGTGGGGGGGGGAACTTACAGATATGTATGGGACAGAAGAGTTACAAAGGAAGGGCTTGAAAACAACATCATGTATGCAGAAAGCAGGAATAGGACGGAAGGTAAAGAAACCGGCTTTGTACCACAAAAAAAGAGAATATATTATGGATTAGCGCCATATCTATTCCCATAAAGTGGGAATAGATTGAAAAGGCTGCTTTCCGCGCCCTGGAGCTAGGGCAAGAAGAGATCCTCGCCCCGCTGGTCCTTCTTCTCCTCTAGCTGTTTGGCTTTCTATGACTTCCAACCGGGCTGGGAACTCGGCCCGGCTCCCCTTTGCCTCCATCCGCCCACTGCCCGAAAGACGTAAACACTCCCGTCATTGGGAATTCCCCTCCCCCTCCAGTCTTACCTGTCGGGTCTCCCACGGGGAGGGGGGGCAGACGCACCTCCCGCCTGAGGGCTCCGGAGAGAGAGCGAGACCAACGCCGGGCCGCGGGGGAGACAGCCAGGAAACGTTCCGCCCAACCGGGCAAAGCGAAATGCCGGAGCCCAGCCCTTGACTCCGCCCACTCTGGGCTCGTCCCACCTCCTCCTCCTCCTCCACCACCACCTGTCATCCAACGCAGCGTGCCTACGTCACGGGAGCGCTTTCCTCGCCTCCTGGAAGGGTTTCCCTTTTGCCTCAGAGTTCGCGGGGGGGGGGGGGGGGGGGGGGGGGCGGTGGGCGTGGCTTCTTGTGCAACGTTATGAAGGTCGCCTGAAGACTTTCATGAACGGTCTGGAGAATTGCCGTTAAGAACTAGAGTCAGGCTTCCTAAAGCGGTATAGAATCCTAAGGATTTAATTCTGGACGTTACAAAGCCGAGAGCCCAGTTTGGAAAGAAGTTTGACATGAGAAGACATAAAAAGCCAGCAAGCCGTGTACTTGAGGAGTCTCCGGGTTATTTCAATAAACCTCACGTGCAAGAGCTTGTCTGAATGTACAATCCTGCATGAAATGTAAAGTTCTATGGCAGCAAACCTCGATGACGTCATCACACGAATGCTGCTGTTAACATACTGGCGTGAATTCTCGCCTTGGCAGGGGCAATCTGTCAAGCTGCATGCTTCTGCAGATGTCAATCATAGCAATAGCACTTAGACTTATATATCGCTTTACAGTGGTTTACAGAGTCAGCGTATTGGCCCCAACAATCTCTGTCCTCATTCTACCCATCTCGAAAGGATGGAAGGCTGAGTCAACCTTGAGTCTGGTGAGATTTGAACTGCCAAATTGCAGAGAGACAGCAATCAGCAGAAGTAGCTTGCAGTAATGCACTCTAACCACTGTGCCACTGCAGCTCATGTCCTGCAGATGTCAATTATTCACCCTGATTAGTGTCATCAAAGTAATGGGCAGGACATTGGGTAGACTTGGGGTGACAGTTGGAGTGAGGGAAGGTCACACCTGGGATCATGAAGAGTTGGATATGATTTGGCAGCAACTATTCTTTACTCAGAGGAGTGAAGCTGTAAGGACAAATCAAAGTGAAACTTAGTCAAAATCCAATAGAATAACTAAAACTTAATACAGGTAGTCCTCAACTTACAACAGTTCATTTAGTGATGGGTTCAAATTTACAACTTCATTGAAAAAATTGACATGACCATTTTTTCACACTTACAATCATTTTTAGCATCCCTGTTTACATGATTTACATTTGAATGTTTGACAACTTGACTCACATTTATGACAATTGCAGTGTCCAGGAGTTATGTAACTGCTTTTTGTGACCTTCTGACAAGCAAATGAGGAAACCAGATTCACTTAACAACCATGTTATTTAATAACTACAGTGATTCACTTAACAAATGTAGCAAGAAAAATGTGGCAACACTCACTTAACATAAATTTTGAGCTCAATTGTGGTCATAAATTGAGGACTACCTTGGTGACCTTACGGCACTTTTGTGTCACTAAATAGCCAAATTTGGCCATGGAAGAGGTGATTTTAGGATTTCTATTAGCACCAAAGCAGTTAGCATAAAATTATTTAGTACAACCAGGGAAATGTTTCAGTTATGATAGGATAGCTATGGCTTAAATAGAAATAAAAGGAAAAATGATACAGTGCCCGGACTCAGCCATATCAATCTACATGGGCATTCTAATACTGTTGATTTTTGCTTAAAATGAGCCCTCTAGGATGCCTGAAAAGAGAGATTAAAATAAACTCTGGAAAAGGCACATCTATAAATTGAATTAAGTGAAAGAACACCACTAGTTTGCAAGTGCAGCTCTTTCTATTTCTGGCTGTGAGAAAACAGTTGGAGGATACTACAATTGGGATTTTGTACAGATTCCCATTAGTACTCAAACAACAACAAAACCCAAGAAAATGTTCTGCAGTCAACAAACACGTTGAAACACCCAGCGTACATTTGTAATTGTAGAATAAATCTTAGATGTGCCAAATTCAAATTCTAAAAACTATTTATAGATTTAACTTCAGGAAAATACAAATGAATTCATCCACTGCCTAGTTCAGAGTGTTATGAAGCCCGTGAAAATATGGACAGGTTCATACATTTCCTGTTCTTGGTTCACTCAATTGCCTGAGTAGGACTACTCATTTATTGCTGGTATCAGACACTATTCCTTTGACAGTAATTATACCTATAACAATTGCTTTGTTATCATGAACAGTCAAAAAGGCCAATGTTTTTGGCCATGAGTCTTCTGCTTAAACACATTGTTTTCTCTTGTCTTTTCACTTGGCAGTTCAGGTGCAGAATTTAATTTACCTTATTTTGCTAAATGTTCTATTTCACACTTCCCCTTAGTCCTTATTAAAATTTCTGGCTGTTAAAAGCATTGTTCAAGTTTTGGACAACTGTGGGTGTTTGGTCCAAAGCCTAATTATTTTGGGGAATTAAAAAACATGGCCAGCTTTCCTTTAAACTCATTATTGCAAAAAGAAGGTAAGACCAGGCTAGAGACTGATTTCATTATGAGGTACAAAGTATTTTGAGAGGAAAAGAAAGAACATTTTGAGTTTACAATTCCTTTCCATCATATTCCATACACATAAGTTCCTGTTTATATATCTCATTCTTATTGGTATTTGTTAAAACAAAAGGAACTTTTTGAATATTGAATAAGAATAGTACCATTCAAATGGGATTATAAACAGATTTATCTCCAGTCCAAGATTTGAATTCTGTATCTAATCATGTAGATATTATTGGAAGAAAAATCCTTCTGGGTTCAGTTCCAAGTGGGGGAAAAACACAGTGGAAATAAGGAGGCTGTTTGGAAGGTTTAATTGTGGACAAGGACCACATGGCCTGGAGCTCCAGAGTGAAAAAGAAGAATGATCAAATGCTTCAAGGTGAAGGAAGAGATCAAGAAAAAGGGCTGAGGTGCTGAGAGTGCTTGGGTTTTATAACCTTTGTTGGGATTTGAATTGGAGCTTGTATTCTGATTGGTTGTCAGACTCCCATGAGGCCATGCAGGGGCAACTCTGTAGGCTGTCCTGAGTTCCAGGCTTGGTTGAGCCTTGCTGGATGATGATGCACTGAAAGGGTTTGGGCAATTGTTATAGATTTACCTGGAGATCTTTGTTATGTAAAGTTCTGGCCCAGGCCTTAATGGCTCACCCATTAACAAAGGTGGGGGTGAGTTTCTGCTTCTGAGTTTCTACTCTTTTTAGGGGAAATATTCTGCCTTTTTAATATTTCCTAGGATCTTTCAATTTTCTAGGGGAGGGGCGGGTGCTAACTTCCTACATTAGGTTTTATTTTATTTTTTGTTTCAGTAATAATTTAAAATTCTGATTGTTGTCTTATGGTGGTGTTCTGTTAGTATGATTATATTATTTGAATAGTTTTGTGATAAATTTGGCAAGTTGCAGAAAAGTGAGCTGTGAATAGATGAACAAAGTAAGTGCATTCTTGGAAACTGATAAAATCTTTGGTATAAAGCAAGCAAATTGAAAATAAAATGGAAGTTCCGTGTTCATAACAAACATTTTCTTCTAATGTGCCATCTGCAGATAGCTGAACCAAACAGAGTTAATAAACATCAGTGTTCAAATACTTATTTCCTACTGGCGCATGCAGTGAACAATGTATTTATCACCTCATACATACATACCCTTGCTCTTGTTTATAAAATGCATAATAAAAGCATGAAGACCTTACAAACATGAAATCCATTTAGAAATCATAAAGAAAATGGGCTTAATATTTAGGCTATTACTGTATATATTGTTTTTAAAAAGACCATGGTAGCACAGTAGTTAGAATGTAGTTTTGAAGGCTAACTCTGGCCATAGCCAGGAGTTCAATCCTGACCAGCTCAAGATTGACTCGGCCTTCCATCCTTTCAAGGTCAGTAAAATGAAGATCTAGATTATTGGGGCCAATACAGAGAATACTGTAAAGCAGTATTGGAGTATATAAGACTAGGTGCTATTGCCGTTGCTTAAAAAAATCATAAGAATATAAAAAATATATAATAACACTTGTCTGCTATTTCATAATATTTTTCTTCTTCTTCCTTTTCTTCTTCCTCTTCCTCCTCTTCAGCAGTGCAAATGGCTATTTTGTTGAAAGTCATATTTATTGTTCAATGCTTAGTTTTCTTAATTTTTCAGTGTCACTGGCAAATAATAGAATACCTATAAATTTTTTGTTTACTGTCATTGTTAATGTTATTGTTGACTACTGAATTGTTATTTTTTAAAAATCTATTAAACACTGACTGGGTTCACAATCAGCTAAGTGATAGTTTCTTTAATTATCATTTATTGAATAAATCAAAATTAGTTGGGTTCACACAGCATTGACTGATTGAGTGTTAATAGTAGGAATCACTTGACAAACATATACAATCAGCATATATATTGAATTTTGCTTCCCCCCCCCCCCAAATAGAATCTGTCCACCTCACCATGTTGTGTTCATATTTGGTTTCCCGACCTCTGTATAAGACATAGCATAATTTTCAAATCAGAGTGGCTGGGTTCAGAAGGTACTCTAACCCCCACTCCCCCCCAAAATTAAGGAATACTATGACTAATATTTGATCATTCACTAGTTGTTCTGAACTATTCATGAAGCAAGCAGTGCTCTGTTTGGTACAGTGTACTGTATGAAACCAGTCATTATGGCTTGTAAATCATAAATTATGGTTTAGTTTGTTGGAAATCCTAGTCAATTGTAGCTTATTCAATAAATGCTGCTTAAACCTATTTTATCAATGGTTAGATAAAAAGACATGGTAAAGAAATAGATTAGGAAGCTTTAAAATAAAAGTTAATAGATTGATATAGAATATAATATAAAATATATAACCATTGGATGAATGGTTAAGATTAAACTATAATGAAATTTAGAATATCTCATATAGAACGATGGGAAAATAGTTTAGTCAAATGAATGTTTAATAATTGATATTACATAAGCACATGCTAGATTGATAAGGTGAGAATTCATACAACTTGTGAGTAATGGTAAAAAAAAAGGATAGCACAAAAGATTGTAACCAGCTGACACACTGTATGTATATAATTGAAAGATGGTTTTATGTTTTTATGTTTTGTTTGTACGTTTGTTGTAAAAAATAAAAACTTCACAAAAATAAAAAATAAATGCTGCTTAAACAAAGATTATATCTCTGATCATTTTGCTACTTTTTCTATCTCTTACAGTTGCATTATACATGCTGTATGTTATCCTACAAGTCACTTACGGTGATACAATTGAATTGGCATAGAAAATTAATGAATAAATGTGCGATCTTAACCTGACTTGCAGCTTAGGATGCAAATCTACGGGCCCTAGATTGTAGTAGAAGGCTGCAGGATATTTTTGAGGAAACTCTTATTTTTAAAAAGAAACAGAGCAAACTTTTGATCCTCTATTCCAAGGCTGCGAAATAGCCCTTCCGTTTTCTGATGCCTGAAATGAAAGGTGGTAGATCTGAAGCAAGGCAGGAGCATGGAAGAGATTCAGGTCTCTAGATCTCAATAACATCTCGGTTCATGGGGAGATTTATAGAGTAATCTCCCTTCCACCGGTTGCAAATTGAAAGAAAGACCTTCAAGCATCAATAATAGACATGCAAACAAAAGGAAAAGAAAGCTAGTTCTCTCTAGCTTCCAGGTGATCAACCTCAGTTCAGCAAAGAATTTCCACCTCTTAGGGGTTTCAAAGATCTTAGAACCTCTGAAAAGGCAAGTAGGTTTGCTATGATTGGGTATCTCAGTACTGTTCTGACCCAAACGTGGTTCCAAGGAAGCAAACACGAGACAAAGGTAACAGCACAACCTTTTAATGTTTCTTTACAAATTGCCTTCCTTCACAGGTAAAAGGCTGCTTCAAACCAATTAGCACCGATAAGAAAGAGCCTTGCCAAGGTTTTGCAAGGCTGCTAAGAACACCAGATAAAGTTACTAAGCAATAATTCCAACACAAAGAGTCTACAAACACCAACTCAGATATTCCTAACGTCCACCAGGCTCGAGTGTAAAATTTCTTTGCCTTCTGCAAAGAACTGCGATTTCTTAGCTGACTTTTATCTCCTAAAGGAGGGCCCATTACTATTTATTTATTTGTTTGTTTATTTATTTATTTATCTGAGTCACCTGTGCTGCTGCAGCTGCTCTTTTCTTCGAGCAGCCCTACACGCAGTCATGTTGGGCACAGGCTCCTCGGGGACCTCTTCATCGCTGCTGCCAGCCTCCACAATCTCCAGAGGCATCATTCCACATCCTGATGGTCCTGGCCCCATCCCTGCATCACACACAGGCCCCTCATCTGAGTCTACACTCTCCGAGCCCTCAGCCATCCACACCTGCTACTGGCGAACCACAATAAGTACTCGGCTTTGACAGACAGAGCACAGACAGATAGACAGACAGTAATTCTATTTCGGTCATCGACAAATAAATATACATTCCATTAAATGAACTAGACAAAACTATTCCTTATCCACAAGAAATGTCAGCAGCCATTTGTAGGTGAAACTTACACATAACCTAGACATATTTTCCTATTGTAAAAAAATAAAATTTATCTTGATTGTCTAGCAGACAGTGCAAAACAACCCTTTAGCACAGCGTCCCAGAAATTTTAATAAAAGAGGAGCAATCAACTGCTGGCAAATGTTCCTGAAGAACTGGCAATGCAGAAGAATGTAAGCTACTTTTGATAAGCATTAGATAATGAATTAGATCTATCTTTAAAGCAAACTGACACCTCTGAAGGCCTTTTTTATTTGTTCCTAGCCGGGACCTATTTTGCTTGTCATGATGCATTTTTCTTCTCTCGCCATACCTGAATGCTTTTGACCATGAAGCATTCAGCTCTGCGGCAGAATTGTTACAGTACAATCTCAGTTTAAATATAAACAGTTTCCACTCTGATGCATATGGCTGCAAGACACCACCTGTCCCACCTACTGAAAAAAAAATTCAGGTGCAGATGGTTATAATAAAGGAGAGCTGAAAATAGCACCTTTCCCCAGCATCTATATCAAGACCTACATTAGTGGCTTCCTTAAAATTTTATTTTATTAATTTATTTTGTCAAGCATGCATTTGATAATACAGTATATATAAGAATAAACATGATTATTAATACATGAAATAGATATGGATAAAAGGGAACATTAAGACAGGGACAGTAGGCATGTTGGTGCACTTATGCACACCCCTTACAAACCTCTAAAGAATGGGGTGAGGTCAACAGTAGACAGTCTGAGGTTAAAGTGTTTGGGGTTAGTGGAAGAAACCACAGAGTCAGGTAGAGTATTCCAGGCATTGACCACTCTGTTGCTGAAGTAGTATTTCCTGCAATCAAGTTTTGTGTGGTTTACCCTGACTTTGTATCTATTGTGTGCTCGTGTATTGTTGAAGTTGAAGCTGAAGTAGTCATTGACAGGTATTGGATAATTTTATGTACTATGTTTAGGACAGACCGAAGGCGGCATAGTTCTAAGTTATCTAAGCCTAAAATTTCAAGTCTGGAGACAAAGGGTATTCTGTTGCGAGTAGAGGAGCGGAGGACTCTTCTTGTGAAATATTTTTGGACTCTCTCGATTGTATTAGCCGGGAAGGTTACAAACAGTGGTCACATGACTTCAGGACAATGCAACCATCATAAATACATGCTAGTTGCCAAAAAACCAAATTTTGATCACGTGACTCTGGGGAATGCTTCAACAATCGTTAAGAGTGAAAACTGGCCAGAGGTGGTATTCAGCAGGTTCTGACCAGTTCTGGAGAACCGGTAGCGGAAATTTTGAGTAGTTTGGTGAACCGGCAAATGCCACCTCTGACTGGAGATTTCACAGTATCCTTCCCCTGCCACGCCCACCAAGCCACGCCCACAGAACCGGTAGTAAAAAACAATTGAATCCCACAACTGAAACTGGCCATAAGTCACTTTTTTCCAGTGGCGTAATTTCAAAGGGTCACTAAATGAATGGATTGAAAACTACCCGTATAGGCGAGCATCCTCCCTTTCTTTAGTCACAATATGATGTAGTGGCAACAGATGGTCTTAAAAATCTGCATTTTTAAGAAAAGGAATCTGTCCCACACAAAGGATGGGGGGGAAAAAGGTGAGTAAGAATAGCTGTAGCAGCATTATTCAATAAAATTATGTTTTTTAAAAGGCAATTTACTACATGTGAAGAGGGAGAGTTGTGCTTCATCAATTGCAATAGATCATGTTTACGATCCTTGTCTGGCCACATTAATTTTGCCTGGGGTTTTTTTGCCCTCTAATAGTAATGGCTCTGACATTCTTCTTCCGAGAAATAAACACAAAATATCCTTCAAGTCAAGTTCAATTCCTGGTGATTTCGTGGACCTGAATACAGCCCTGCAGCTTTCCTGGCAATAAAAGGAAAATGGTTCGGTTTTCTGGAATATTTTTAGATTTCTCAGTCTGGTTTACGGCTTGAATTCCTTGGCAGCCTCCCAGGAACTAAAGTGCAGGTAATCCTCGACTTACGACCACAAGGGGGACCAGAATTTCCATTGTTAAGCCAGATGTTAAGTGAGTCACACCCAATTTATTAGCTTTTTTAAACCGGTGGTTGAGAAATCGCTGCAGCTGTGAAATGAATCACACCCTCATCAAATGAATCTTTTTTTCCACTGACGTTTAGAATATAATAGAATAACAGAGTTGGAAGGGCTCTTGGAGGTGGTCTAAACTATACCATTTCAGACAAATCATTGTCCAACCTCTTCTTAAAAATTTGCAGTGTTGGAGAATTCACAACTTCTGGAGTCACACAGTTCCACTGATTAATTGTTCTAACTGTCAGGAAATTTCTCCTTAGTTCTAAGTTGCTTCTCTCCTTGATTAGTTTCCATTCCATTGCTTCTTGTCCTACCCTCAGGTGCTTTGGAGAATAGCTTGACTCCCTCTTCTTTGGGGCAGCCCCGAGATATTGGAGCACTGCTATCGTGTCACCCGTAGGCCTTCTTTTCATTATTTAGGCATGCCCAATTCCAGCAACAGTTCTTTATATGTTTTAGCCTCCAGTCCCCTAATCATCTTTATTTAGTTTAGTTTAGTTTATTGTCATTGCACCTCATACAACAAAATCAAACACCATCTTCAGTGCACATCATGACCATGAAAATAAACACAACACACATCCTTCACCCTTCACACACTGAACCGGAAACTCCCGACGCCACACCAGCACTGCACTATATAGTAGAATTCAAAGGAGCTACTGCCCTGGGATAGAAGCTGTTTTTCAGCCTATTTGTCCTTGTTTTTATTATTCTTTACCGTCTGCCAGAGGGTAATAATTCAAAAAAAGGGTTCCCAGGATGAGATGGATCTTTGAGAATGTTTTGAACTTTCTTAAGGCAGCAGGAGCTATAAAGCTCTTCCAAAGAGGGAAGAGGGCAACCAATTATCTTCTGGGCAATGACGTTAACCCTCTGGAGTGCTTTCCTATCTGCCACTGTGCAATTGGCAAACCATACAGAGATGCAATATTTTAAGGTACTCTCTATGGTGCAGAGGTAGAAGGTCACCAGCAGTTTCTCATTCAGTTGTTGTTTTCTGAGAAGTCTCAGGTAATATAGTCTCTGCTGGGCCCTTTTGACCAGGGCTGCAATGTGGGCACCCAGGGCAGGTCCTCTTTTAGGGTAATACCCAGAAACTTAAAACTGGCCACTTGCTCCACTCGGTCTCCATTGATAAGCAAGGGCTGAATGTCTGATCTGTTCCTTCTATAGCTCACTATAAGCTACTTGGTCTTATTGGTGTTGAGGACCAAGTTATTGTCTCCACACCACGAAAGCAACTGGTCCATTTCATCTCGATAGGCAGACTCATCCCCACCAGAGATGAGTCCCACCACTGTTGTATCATCTGCAAATTTAACAATAGTATTACTAACGTGAGTGGGAATGCAATGATGCACATAAAGAGTATAGAGTAAGGGACTCAACAGGCAACTCTGTGGTGTACCAGTGTTAAGAATAAGGGCTGAAGAGGTCTGATTACCTAATCTGACCCTCTGTGAGCAGCCAGACAGGAAATCCATAATCTAAAGGCAGATTGAATTAGAAAGCCCGAGGTCCAGAAGTTTAGACACTAGTCTATGTGGAAGAATTGTGTTAAACGCAGAACTAAAACCCACAAAAAGCATCCCCACATAGCCCCCCACCCCCGCTGTTCTAGATGAGTCAGAGCAGTGTGAAGAGTGATGGCTATAGCATCCTCTGTAGATCAATGATGATGATGATGATGATGATTTATATTGTTGCTCTTCTCTGCACTTTCTAGAGCAGGGCTGTCAAACTCCCGGCCCATGGGCCGGATGTGTCATACGCCCATGCCCGGTTTAGTGAAGGTGGGGAAAGTTCCAATACATCATGTGATGCCACCATGACAACGTGAGTTTGAAACCCCCGTTCTAGAGAGTCTCTGCATTATTTCTAGTTGTGCTCTTTCTAGTTCTAGAGTACTCCATTGTAACCAAAGTTCTTCTGAGAGTGCATCGTAATCAGTGTTTCCTTAAAGAAAGTCTCACTGACTTCCCCAATGCTGGCAGTGAAACTAGAGGAATGGGCATCCTGCAAGTCCCAAACCATACATGGCCATTGGACCACGTGGTGGTCTTTGGGGACCTTCTAGTTATTCTGCCAAAATAAATAACCAGAAAATGATGGTTCTGCTCAATTACAAAATATGGTGCAGTTTCCTTTGTTCGAGCAACTATCCGAAAAGACTGCCAATCACAGAATGCCTCAAGCACAAAGTTATTCATATCCATTTAGTAGAAACCCTATTAGATTCAATGGAATTTAGTGCAATATATACAGAATTACAGATTTCATGTACTTGGAGATTTGGGGCAGGGTGCTGGGAGAAAAGGACCATTGGCAGGAAGCTGAAGTGGAGATCTGATGTTGTGGCCCGTTGGCTGCCAGAAGAGCTAGCTGCCGAGTCAGACAAGGAGGATCTGGAGGGAGAGCCTGGGCCAGCTTCAGAGCCTTTGGAAGCAGCACTAGAGGCAGAGGCAGAGCTGGAGCCTTCTGTCCTCCCCCAGGTAGAGAGGCAGCTGTCTTCGGGACCCGAGCCGAGTGAGTGGGAGAAACAGACGGGGCCCATCCCAGAGGAATGTACACACAGAGAGGAGAGGAGAGCAAAGGAAAACCGTAAGCCGGCAGAGGCAGACAATAGCCAGCCCCTCCCTGGATGGGAAATAAATAGGAGGGGTTTGGGAGTGGCCAGCTGTTGCAGACAACCGTTTGTTTCTAGTATACAGCAAGCAATTCGGATTTCTTGGATAAACCCAGGTTTGTTGGGACTAATTACAGTTGACTTTTTGTTCATCCCTGTGAATAAAAGACTGTTCCTGCCCTGTTATATAAAGGGGTTTGTTTTACTCATGAATAAACATCTCATCACTACTTGCAAAGTCTGGGTCAGAACATCTGGTAACCAAAAATCATCAATTCAGATATTATCGACAGAGAAGGATATTCGTAGCTCAGGGTGAAATGAGGGATACATGGTGTTCTCCGAGCTCAGTTGTTTTCTTGTAGATGTTTCATTAATCCAAACTAGATAACATCATCCTTATCAACATCTCAAAGAACGTGCAATATACCAATTATAATTGTTCCATATGCCCAGAGTTAGAGAAATCTGCACAGGCACATACACGATTTTGAAACGTGAGTCACTCATACCTAACCTTTATGATGCTTTAAGACGATAAATACTTATGCAGTAGAATATATTCTTACACGATATTTCATACTATCCTGCTGGGTCCAGTAGTTGGGCAGAAGCTGCTCCAAAGGCTTTTGAACTAGTATGACTATCATAAGATAAGACAGATAATGGTACCTACAAAACATTTCCAAGTAATATATTGAATGTCTAAAGCTCAGGGAGCATCAAGGACTCGACAATGAATGACTAAAGTCTGGTAAAATAAGTCTTATCCCAATCCATAATGTTTGAAAAATGATTCAATTCTAGGGAGGGGGAATAAATCACAAGATAACTTTACGTTCCTGTATGCTAAATAGTTAATATTTAATTGTGCAGACCTGCTTTAAATCAGAGGCCCTGTAAAACCAACCTCTGATCTGTGTCCAATGGCATACCAAATGAATCCCAGAGCCCTCCAATTTAATTCAAATAAAATAATAATGGGGGAAAGCATATGACTCTGATGTTCTGCTGAAAATTGCAGATTCAGCGAGGAAGAAAAAAATATGATCACTTGGGCCGTGCAGGTGGTGAGAGAGAAGGAAAGAAATTTGCTTATTTGCTTTTTTTAACCAGTGGAAAACTCTTTCTTTGCAGAATGGGACCTCTGGATGTTTCCTACGGAAGTTTTGTTTTTTTTTTAAATCCAGGATTGGACAAAAAGTGTTTTGTCCTATTCCTAGGTGGGCCTACAGCAGCAAGATCATTGCCAAAGAGACCACTACCACAGAAGCCAATCCAAACAACAGAGCCAACCTTAGACTTTATTCAAACATAGGTGTTGATTTC